ACTTCTGCATCCTCCGTGTGCGGTCTGGCTACTTCCCCTCCACAATTCACTGTGATACCATAGCTCCGAATCTCTTTCAATAAATCATCAATCTCGGGACTTTCCCCCTCATCAATCTTTGGGATCACGAATCGCAGCCGAGGATGTTTATACCTGATCCGTATAGCATTGGCAGCTTTTCTCATATCGCACGCCAACTTAATCAGCTCGACCTCATCATCATCGTCATCGTCGCTGTCGAAGTCGTCATTGTCGTAATTTCGTAAAACGGTTCTAGCCTCCCCATCCCCCCCATCTTCCGAATCCGCCTCCCACCCTTTCTTGGCCATCTCGAAAAGGAGACGACTTTCGGAAATTGTGGAGACCTTCACCCATTCATCACCATCATCTGCAACAATATCGACAAAGACGCTCTTGCGCTTGTCCTGACTGGGCTTCTTCTTCGCCTGGCTCTCGTCAGATCCCTTTCCGCCATGTTGCGCACCGCAGTCCCAGTAGAACCGCTTGCCAAAAGCAACCAAACCCGTGCATGTATTCTTCGCAACATTCCAAACAGCCTCGTAAAAAGGTAGATTCGACGACCGCAAGGCATGCAGAAGTCGTAGCTCGATCTCGTCATCATGTGATCCTGTTTCTGTATCCGCCGTAGCACACACCGCGTGCACCTTTTTGGAGAGTTTCTCGAGCATGCGCAATTCGGATAGAACGTTGGATCGGAGCGATCGGACCTCGACCAGTTGGGGATTGCGGAGGTTGCGGCTGAGCATAGACTGGAGGGTATCTATTTCGCCGAGGAGACGACGGCATTTGTTCACGAGGGAGGTCGCGAGGGCGCGGCTGTTTTCGGTGTCGGATTTATCTTGAACATCATCTTTGGCGGCATCTCCTGAATTGTCAAAGGGTTGACTACTTGGGTCATTGTTGTGCATGGCTGGCAGCCAGACGGTAAGGTAAGCGATTATGAGTTCAAGGTGGGATGCTATGACGGCTGCGGTAGGTAAAGTAGACACAAAGGCGGAATTCCAGGTACGCCAGTGTTGCGTCTACTATATCTCTAGTGCTGTTTTTCGGCCGGGTATTCGAACATATGTCTCTTAACTTGTAGCATATACACATAAATTCAATTAGTCCATAACTGGAGCAGTAGGAGCTTAGAGCCAATCTAAAAATACACCAATAGGTCAAACGCCATCAAATGCCTGCAAAGTCGAAAACTAAACGGAAAGATCCTTAGAAGATCGATCGAACCTTCAACTTCCCGAGAATTCGTATAAAGATGATTTGATGTCACTTCTGAACACAAGGATAGAGAACGCATAATGCATTCACACTTAATCTGATTTGAGACAAGACTTTGGCTCCTCCGCCATGAGCCAGTTAGTCCGATTTATGGGCAGTGAGCCTCTGTCGTTCGCTTGAGTTTCGTGGAGACTCGTCCTCGTCCTCAGACCATTTGTCACCATCCTCACCTACAGCGAAAATTGTCTCACCATCGAGAGAGTCTCGCTGGCGCGGAGCAGATGGAACAGGTTTAGGAGGTACCGGTGACAACTCACGGCGTGTTGCGGAGGCGGAATTTCCTTCTGGGCCTCCAAACGCTTCTTCGTCGTCCAGTCCACTATTGAAAGATCGAATCTCGAACCCGTCATCGTCTTGTGCAAGCTACAGTCGGGTGTTAATATGCATTCCTTGGGCACCATAGAAGCTTTTCCAAGAACATACCTCGTCACTCATTGCAAACCGCCTGTTGTTCGCAGTAGGCCGCCAAAGATAGGCAACGAAACCAATGTCGAACAAGTACACAAGGTTGAGCCAACCATCTAGCACAAACCATCTCGTCTTCCAATGCTCTGGAACAAAGCTTGCTTCGCTACGACCAGCAAAAGCAAATGAGTTGATGAAAAAGAAGCCAAAGATCACGATGATGCTGCCCAGAATACACCACCAGAGCTTCTTGTACATCATTGCTTTGACCTTCTGCTTTCGGTCGATCAGATCCTTCATGGTTGCGTTCAAGGAGTTCAGTGTCCACACATAGAATGCAGTCAGTGTACCAGCAAGTGGGAGCACGATGAGGAGGACCAGTGGTCCAGCGCTATCGGGTGTAATTGATAGACTTGCGACAGCATAGATGACGCCAAAAACAAAGTGAGTGATGGCCAGGATACGGACATAAATCATGGTCCGGCCCAAAGAGGGCTTGACAACGCCGTATCCCATGCAAACGATGAGCAAAAGAAAAAAGGAGAAAGAATTGCGTCCCGCATTCAGGACAGCGACGATTACCATTAACACTTTTGCACCGATATTCAAACCGTGCCGATTCTGGAAATCTGCTATTCGTCAGGGACTTGGACGCAAAATTGGACCCCAGCGGAGGCGCGAAGGGTGGGTGAAATACCATAAAAGCCCCAGGTCATCAATTGCTCCACGATCAAGAAGACCAAAATAGCGGTAATGTAGTTTTGCACCGGCACTGCAATCATCAGTAATTGGAAGACCATCCAATTAAAGGTTTCTACTCACGAATGTCATGACGATTCTGAACGTATAGGAATGCCCAAAATCTGTGTTAAGCCTGTCAGTACCGCTAGGACTTGGAAATGGCCTTATGAATCAAAGACCTACACTCCAATGACCGCATAGACTATAGTCAAACCACCGTAGAACGGAAGTTTTGCAATCTGCGCAGCGGGAAGTTCACCGTATGAATTCCTGAACTCAACTGCCGCTTTGTAATCCTTCCCGGAATATCCATAGGTGCTGACGCAATAGAAGCCGGTCTTCTTGATAGGGTAATTAATTGCAGATGGATTGTTCAGATGTACCGCCTGAGATATAATAGGGAATTTGGATGCATCGCTCGCGTTGGCGGCCAGAATGAAGGAACCTAGTTGACCTTGTTCGCATAGTTTCGCCTCAACGCTAGCCTGGTCGCAAATAGTCTCTTTCGCCTATAAGGACATGTGTAAGCGCGGGAACTTCATCTGCGGCGACACTGGGAAGGCACACTTCAGGGTCATCAGATACGGATCTCCCGATCAGATTCTCGTCGCTCCATTCGAATATCACGACACTGACAAGAGGATCGCTATCGCCGGCTTCGTTATCTTTGACAAATACGGTCTCGATATACGGATCGATGCTTCCGCCCCACGCCTTGCGACTGTACATCCCTGAACATCGCTGTCGGTGGGCTTCGTCTTGTGTCTGCGTAGAATGATTACGTTAGTTATTGGCGGGGAAATCTGTCAGTTCTATGCGCACCAATTGAACTTCATTTGCAAGTACTCGTCCTGCCAGAGCGGCAGTCAAGCATAGTGTCTGGAGCAAGCCCTTCATTGTGATCACGACGAACAGCCGTGCTAGGCTTCCAAATACCCAAAAGGAGAATCTATGCGCGACCGCAGACCATCCGACGGCAAACAAGACTCGCAATTATGTTTCAATTTGGCAGATAATTTTCAGAAGGTTGTCGATCGGTCCTCTCTAGGACAGGTGATTTCGTGATAGTATCGCGGCTTGAGAGTCCTAGAGTTGAAGCTTACTTGTACGTACAGGCTGTCGTGGCGAGGTATACTGGAACCGGGGAAGCCGCGTGGTGACGGTCCCACCAATCAAACTGCACCCGCGGCGGCACCGCCATTAGGTTTCTGCCTTTTATGCGAAATTTCTCGTCGATAGTCATCGCAACCGGAGACATTCGACGTCAAGCTAGGCAGCAAGCAGCAAAATGCCGGGAAAGCAAATTTCAGATCCCTGCGTTGACTGCAGTGATGCGGAGGCTATATTGACGCTGCGCACCCGCCGTCTATGCAAGTACGTGGGTTCGAAAGATTTGGTGGCGGGGACAAGATGACTGACTGAATTATCTTCATTTAGAACTTGCTATGCAAGATTCGTTAATTTCAAGGTGTTCAAGCGTATGGAGAACTATCGTCTTCGGAGAAACATGCCAAGGACCGGACCATGCAAGCTGCTCTTGCCTCTTTCCTGTGGCATCTCCTCTTCTGTCTTGTTGCACATACTGAACGCTCAAATCCAACATGAACTCGCCAAGTCGCATCCCTCACCGGGCTTCGATCTCCATGTGCTTGTTATCGAACCTTCTTCTGTTCATGACGGTAGTCCGTCGTATGATGAGGGCTTTAGATTGCTACAGCAGACGTTTCCTCTGCATTCTTTTACTCGGATCCCGCTTCACAGTATCTTCGGGCTGGATCCCGATCTTCAGGAAGTCATTTCTCAGTTTTCCAAAGACGGCTTTGCCGATGATACCAGCTTATCTGACAAAGACCGCCTTGATGCTTTCCGTGCTTCGATTGCTACTTCCACATCCAAGGTTGATGTCGATTACGTTCTGATCACCAGACTTGTTGTTGCATTTGCGAAGAAAATGGCGTGCAGAGGAGTGCTATGGGGAGACTCAGATACCAGGCTCGCCGCGAAGACGCTTGCCAATGTCGCCAAGGGACGCGGTTCATCTTTGACATGGCAAGTGTGTGATGGAATGTCACCGTTTGGTGTAGAGTTCAACTTCCCACTTCGGGACTTGTTCAAAGCCGAGGTGCACAACTACGCCAGTTTCTTCCCTGAACTGACCAGAATTATCATTCCTGCCGAGCCACCATCGGAAAATGTGCTCACGAAGAACTTGTCCATTGATGAGCTGATGATGCGCTACGTCCAGACCCAAGGCGAGAAGTATCCCGGCGTCATGGCCAACGTGACTAGGACTGCGAGTAAGCTTCAAGCTTCCTCGGTCCCTGCCAATGTACCTCAATGCAGCTTCTGTGGCGCTTTCATGCTGAACTCCGGCAACAATGGTGCTGCTGACACTGCTGCCACTAACCGAGCACTCGAATTATGCTACGCATGCACCAGATCGCGGCCTGAATTGACCTGCTGATGGGTGGCTTTTTGGAACCGCAGATGACACTTTATTGCTTCAGCAAGAATTAAAAGCACTAGCACCAACTAAGAGGAGTATCCTTTTCTCTTCATCGACCACGGGACTTTGGGTTGTCACCGGCTCCAGCCTCTAAGTCACCTGCACGATTGGATGATTTACGAAACCACCCCTTCTGCGACCGGTCTCTCTGCGGATTCCTGGCTGGCTCAGGTCTAGCAGGTCCCGCTTGTGCCTGACTCTCGTATCTAGGCGGCTCGTCCAAGGCACTCTGGTCAAATCTGTCGAATTCCTCCGGCAGGCTGGCATCAACGGCCCCTTCTGAAGTTCGACTTTGCGCCTTAAGCGCCTTCACTCCCTTTTCTCGCAAGTGCTTCTCTAGGATGACAGCGTTTCTTGAGTTGCACTTGTACATAGCGTCCGCGAGGTCCCCTACGAATGGGACCAGACCGATAACGAAGTCGATCAGCACATTGATCATCATCATCATCCTGAGCCGTGCTGGTAAACCCCCATCAATCTCCTCGCAGTTCCTTACGACCATCATGGCGAGTGCCGTATCGCCAACGTCGCCGAGACTGAAAGATTGACGAGCATCAGTGTCAATTCCAACATGAGCAATTACGGAACTCACAATGGGATCAGCGCAATGACACTGCCCCAGCCAAAGCGAATGCCGCAGAGATTGAATAGGCAGTAGTCTAGTCTGTACGCCCTGCGTTTCACCCGGGTGAGGACTCTCTGATCATTCTCAGAGAGTCCAGGAGGGATTGCTTTCCGTCTCCTCTTTGTCTTCTTGCCGAAGGCTCGGTAGAGTCGCGAAGCCGGAACTTCTTCGAAGTAGGGATCCTGGGCAAGATCCGTATCAGTTGCTATGCACAAAAATGCCTTCCAACTGGTGACCTTTCATGAGTTACCTCTTGGCCGAAATGGTTCCTCGCCGATTCCGCTAAAATTCTCTTTCCAACGAAAGAGGCCAGAGCACTCGACATGGCTTCTTAGTCAAAGTAAAACGAACGTTACCTAGAACGGGAGTCGCTACTGAAGTAGGATATTTAACGAGAATCCGATCGATCTGGCTAGAGTTGCTTTCGCGAGGCGTAAAGATCCCAGAGAGCTCTTAGATTCTTTGTATCTGGGTAGGCTTCTTTGACGGAGATCAATAATAAATGTTTTAAATGAACTAAGCTTTCCAAAATTTGACGTAGCAGGTCACAGATAGTGCGGTATAAGCAGGTTTTTTTGAGGTCAGCTGATGAATAATAAATAGTATCTGTCAACCAGCACTTGTAGCTTTGTAGGTGCCAGAGCGTTGTCTACCGTCTCTCAGTTCTCCCCTTGGTTCACATAAACACCAGAGACGTCATCCCGTGCCCAACAGCTCAGACGATCATCACTTTTCCCTTCCCTGATTTGACCGCTGATCGGCACAGGCCCCAGCGCCACAGCTGTGGCGCTTTTACTGAGCCATGAAAAGCTACTATTGGATGACTGCGCCACAAATCACCTGTGCTGGGTAAGGTATTCTTCGTCGGTCTCAGCAGCTCTCGTCACTTGTGATTGTCGCCCAACACTCGGTTATCACAGAACGAGTGAACGCACTCAACCTCACACCCCCACCTTCACATAGGTTGTTTATCGACTCGCTCGCTCTCAAGGTAGACAAACCATTGGTTTGCTCTCGCCATTACTTTCCATTTTCTCTCAGCAACGCTACGCTTTAGGGCGGGTGCTTTCTGCCAAGCACCCTACTGGAAGCTGCATCACTGGTGTGCTGTTCTCCCCCTCTATTTCCGCCTCTCTCTCCGCACCGCTGGTTCTCGGAGAGACCTCATCACGCAGACAAAGGCCGTGTTGAAATGCTAGAAGACGTCGGACAGCATGACAGAAACAAAGATGCAGCTGGAGGACTGTAAGTTTTCGTCTTCTCTCCGGTCGCTCAGTGTATCAACGGCGACTGCAGTGATGGTGATGGTGATGTGGATGACGATGCTAAATGGTTGGACTCCCTGACATTAGGGCTGGATGACCTGTGTGTCCGCTTCATTATAAATTTACCTCGCGAAGAGCTGGAGTCCGTCGAACGGATCTGTTTCCAAGTGGAAGAGGCGCAATGGTTCTACGAGGATTTCATTCGGCCGTTGGACCCGGCGCTTCCCTCGTTGTCTCTGAAAGCTTTTGCGCTGCGCATCTTTCAGCATTGTCCACTGATGTCTCAATGGTCCCACTACCACCATATTACAGCGTTCTCGGAGTTTCTGGCCTACAAGACCCGTGTGCCGGTGCGTGGTGCCATCCTGTTGAATCAGGACATGGATGAGGTAGTGCTGGTCAAGGGCTGGAAGAAGGGCGCTAATTGGAGCTTCCCCCGCGGTAAAATCAATAAAGATGAAAAGGACCTCGACTGCGCGATCCGGGAGGTCTACGAAGAAACTGGTTACGACGTTCGGGAGGCCGGGCTAGTGAAGGATGAAAAGGACGTCAAGTATATCGAGATCACCATGAGAGAACAGCATATGAGGTTATACGTGTTCCGTGGCGTGCCACAGGATGCTCACTTTGAACCTCGTACCCGGAAAGAAATCAGCAAGATTGAATGGTATAAGCTGTCGGACTTGCCAACTTTAATGAAGAAGAGCAAGCCAAATGATGAAAATTTGGCGGTTGCAAATGCGAACAAGTTCTACATGGTTGCACCGTTCATGCACCCACTCAAGAAATGGATCGCCCAACAACGGCGGCTTGACGCAAAGGCGCAACCAGGTGGCGTCAAACAGCTGTCGCAGTTGGAAGGGGAAACATCTATGGACGAGGCCATTCAACCCGCTATCCACCATATACTGGCCAAGCATGCTGTTCCTAGTGATTTGCCTGAAGTTACTTCGGCAGATGACGCCTCTTCTCATCTCAAGCGACTTCTTAAAATCCACTCGACTTCCACCCAGGATCAGTTCCCTCCTACGCAGACTGCTGGTCCGGACGCTTCCAAGTCCAATGCTCTGTTGGAATTGTTAAGAAGCGGCGCCTCTAACAAACCTACTCATCAGTCTTCAACAAATGACCAGACACTACCCCCTAATGTCTTCCATGAGGCTATTCCCCCACCGCATCAACCTCACACTCTTTCGGCACCAAATTTCTTTCCAGGCTTCCCTCAGCAAGTTGCCTACTCTGGGCAACATGACAATTCATTACAGATTCCCGGGCAACCACACCATGGCGCTGCTCTTCCGCATTTGCCAGCACCCCCGCACTCGCTTGGTTTAGGAGGTCCCCAGGCCGGTTATCATGGGGTAACACAGTTTTCAAATCGTCATCCGTCCAAGTTGCACGCAACCGCGCAGACTCATAGGCCAGCGCCAGCGCCTGCTCCATACCAGAGGACTGGCGATCCTCAATTCTCGCAGGCGGCGCAAGCTCCCCAAGTTCAAGGGGCGGCTATACCACCAGCAAGCAAATTGCCACCGCCTAAGCTTACCAGCCACTCATTAGCGCTGCTGAACGTTTTCAAAGACAGTTCTATGAAAACGCCAAAGGCAACGATCGCTAATTTGACAACATCCTCGGAGAAAACGCCATCTGCTGAGCGCAAACCATCGCAACATCAAGATAATTTGCTGAATCTCCTCAAGGGAGCAACTCCTCCGGCTCCTGCCGAATTGTCGGCCCAGCCTGTCTCTCCGGCTGGCAAACAAATTCTCCAACGGCCTCGCACCGATCCTAGCTCTCCTAAGAGATCTGCGCCCAACACAAATGTGACACCAAAGGGAGCTTCACGCAATCCTACCAGTGCATCCGGGCCTCCGCCCGTCGTTCCTTCCGAGGCGGCTTTCAAGCAACCAGCGAAGAAGAACCATAACGGCGCAAACAGGAAGAACAAAGATCGACACCCACAGCCTCTTGCGTCTCCCATTACTATATTGACCAGACCGCAGTCGGACAAGAAGGAACGCTCACCCACTCCAGCATCTTCCCAGTCTCCTAAGCCTCCCTCGTCAAGGGCGTCTTCTCAATCTCGTACCAACAGGGTGAAGACCGCAGAGCCACAGAAGCCATTCCAGCCGCAGATACTACGTCGCTCGGATAATCTAAACCTAGAGAAGGTTCTTCCGACGCGGAGTAAGGATGAGAACGGCGTAGGCCGGCAAGTGACTTCCCCACCTCTCAGTGCTGGGCAAGTGATGAAGCCTCCTCAGCCTCCTCAGCCAAACTTCGACCGCCGACCAAGCCAAACAGCTGCGCAGAAGGAGGCTCTCCTCTCGCTTTTTGGCAAGCGGCCTGTTTCTCCACTTACCTCACCCTCTGGGAATCTCGACCTCCGTACATCACTGACCAAACCATCGGCCGCTTCCTCGGCTGTTAGTCCGCTTTCGCCCAGTCGTCCTGCCTCCGAGGTTGGCACTGAAACGCCGAACGCAAACAAGGTTTCATCCCCCGTCAATAAAGCTTTCCTGCTTGGATTCTTGGAAGGTGTAGCGAAGGGAAACAAATAAGGTCCAAGCTCGTCCTGATCTTCAACAATGGACCAACATGTAACTATGTCCTTCAGAAGGTGCATTATGACCTAGTATTAATTGTATAACGCTGAACAACCCTCTTGTCCTTGATAACCAAATTTTATACATCTTCTTCCCTGTGTACCTCTGGTCATCCGATTGAATAATAAATGCATTTATCTTATCCTAATTCTGCCACATTTTACCGCCCGGTTGTCGATGTCATACCCCAGAACTCTTGATTTGTAAACGATCGTTTGTAAGATTGTCATGAACGGCCTAACACAGCCATGATGCGTTCCATTGCATCTTCGAAAAGGGTTTGCACTCGCTGTCTGAGCCGTTCAAGGCTCTTCTCAACCACTGTACAGTACCGCTCTCAGCCATCGAGCGATGCTGTCCCTTCTTCCCCGCCGCAGTCCGGGTATGCTCGACTTACGAACCGGGGTTTGATATCGATCACAGGCGTTGATAGCACTACATTCCTTCAAGGTCTAACTACTCAGAATATGCTAGTTGCGAACGACCCGAGCCGCACAACTCGCCGAACGGGGACCTACACGGCTTTCCTGAACTCCCAAGGTCGAGTGTTGAACGATGCATTCATCTATCCGATGCCCAGAGGAGACAGCGAGACCGCTACAACTGATGACCCGGCATGGCTGGTCGAAGTGGACAAAAACGAGATATCCAGTCTCCTGAAGCATCTTAAGAAGCATAAGCTTCGATCAAAGTTGAAGCTCCGTGCGCTGGAAGACGGTGAACGCACCATCTGGTCGTCATGGAAAGACCATGCTGAGCCCCGATGGGCGGCGTATAACCTGGAATCGGAATCATCCTCGCCGTTCTCACCCTCGTCAACCGTTGCGGGATGCATCGATACCCGGGCTCCGGGTTTCGGATCTCGGCTTGTCACGCCTGGCGAGGAGGACCTGCGCATCCATCTACCGGATGAGACTCAGGTTGCCGGCTCCGAGGTCGATTTGGGCACGTACACGGTGCGGCGGATGTTGCACGGTGTAGCGGAGGGCCAGGGCGAGATAATCCGCGAGTCTGCGCTTCCCCTCGAATGCAATATGGACATGATGCGGGGGGTTGACTTCCGCAAGGGCTGCTACGTCGGCCAGGAGCTTACGATCCGTACCCATCATACGGGGGTTGTGCGGAAACGGATTGTGCCGGTGCAGTTGTATGCGAACTCCACCCTTCCATCCGGTGATGCTCCTGTGTATGATCCCTCTGCAGCGGCCGCCTTGCCACCTAGCGGATCGAATATCTCCAAGGTTGATGGTAGAAAGGGCCGAAGCGCGGGGAAGTTCCTCGGCGGAGTTGGAAATATCGGTTTAGCTCTTTGTCGATTGGAGATAATGACCGATATCGTGCTCACAAGTGAAGGTTCACAGTACAGCCCCGAGCAAGAATTCAAGATTTCATGGTCTGCGCCAGAAGAAGCATCACCGAATGCAACGGAGTCGGGAGAAGTGAAGGTTAAAGCTCTTGTGCCGCCCTGGCTGAGGGAGTATATCTCCTCTGAAGCGAGGAACATTGCTCGCAAGGTGGACAATCAGGAAGGCCACCGGGCAAAGGAGCTCTTATATCAATTAGAGGAGGAAGAAGAGCAACGGCGGAATGAGTGACGTGGATCACAGCACATCGTGTATCATATCTTGTACATATAATGACCAATATCTCTATAGACGGGAAATTTTTCTCAATCGAAAAAGAAAAAAAAGGAATGTTATAAGAAACAAAGCTGAAAGGGGTATCTCTGAAATTAGAAGTCTACCGAACGAAAGACGCTCAACACCAGAAGAAGAGAAAAATGTAATTAGCCCTTGGCCTCAGCGGCAGCAGCCTCAGCAGCATCTGCTGCCTCATCCTCTTTCATAAGCTGTGCCTCGAGGGCCTTTCGCTCCTTTTCGCGCTGTGCGTTCTTCAATCGCATTAATGTTATCTCCTGAAAACTTGGGGTGCTTCGTCCATTGGCGGATGCATCGGATGGTGTTGGCTTTGATGAGCCCGCGGCCGAGGAGAACGAGGCAAACGAGGGCGCTTTCCCGGGGGTCTTGCCTGGACCACCAGGCGGCGCTGCTGACTTGAGCTTGGAAAAGTCGAAAGACGGTTTGGAGGGGCCAACAGAAGGAGCTGTTTTTGGTGTTGACGAAGCTTCATCAGGCGTGGAGATGGGAGAAGCGGCCCGGTCTTCCGTGTCCACTATGTCTGGCTGGTTGCCAGACGCCCAGGAAACGGACTCAATGAGTGTCCAGTCGTTGTCCGGTTGACCAGCGCTCTGGCGTCGCTTTTTCTCGCTGTCCAGCACGGCGGCATGGGCGCTGACAATGGAGGCGAATACCACAACACCTGTCGCGACAGTCTTCTTCTCTCGCTTGTCTCCAACACGCTGGCGCTTGTCCTTGAGCATGAACGTGTTCTCAACTTCACCGAAAGGTTTGAACAAAGACACCAAGCGATCTTGGTCTAGATCCAGACCTCGGCCTTCCCGAACCCAGCGCACTTTGACGGCTCGCTCGAGTTCCGAAACATTCGTGCCACCTTCGTGTGAACGGTCGACTCGTTGACTGCTCCGATCCGCAGCTCTCCGCGCCTCTTCCTGTTCCTGCTGCAACCTTCTCTCCTCGGCCTCAGCTTCTCGCTTCAGTCGCTCCTCAGCCTCCTTGCGTCGCCGCCGCCCATCCTCCGCAATCCGGTCAATTTCGCGCTGAAGCTTTTCCTCGGCATCGTCGTCCGCTCCAGCCATGCCGGCAGACATCCAAGTCCTTTTGACGCCTCGTTGTGCACCTCCCATTGCAGCCGCACCAGCACGCTCTCGAGCTTCCAAGTCCTCTTTCATCTTCCTTTTCGCCGCATCCATCATCTCCACATCACGCCTCTTTCTTTCGCGCGCTTCCCGCGCATTATCGTAGAGTTGCCGTACGGAGGGATCAGAGAGTACATCGTAGGCAATCTGTAGCAGGTGGAATTTGTCGATATCTGTCTGCGTCGGGTTTGCGATCTTGTCAGGATGGTATTTGAGAGCTGTCCGCCTGTATGCACGGCGGATTTCCGACTCAGAGGCCGCAGGTGGAATGTCAAGGAGAGCATAGAAATCTTGGTTAGAGGCAGCGTGTGCCTTAAGATCATCATCCGAGGGCATCTTGAGTGTAGTTCGCGCGAGGGCAGCTCGCTGTTATCTCAATGTGGCAAGAAAAACTGACTTAGCCAGCAGACAAATTTCGCGACGCGAAAGACCGCAAATTATTGAAGCACTGATAGACTTTGAGGATTCAAACGATCACCATAAAAAGAAAGAATGAGGTTAATGATKGGCATGATTGAGACGAAGGTGGAGAAAGGTCGGAGCTCTTATCGGGTTTTTTTGTGTTGGCGGTGGCGGAACACTTCTATCGAGGGAAATATTGCTTCCTGTCCTCCCGTTAAATATCCGACAACCCCGGCTGGGGACACATTTGTTCGACTCACGGGATTCTCTATTGTGCCAGGTATAGTGAATGGAGCTGATGCAGATTGAGATGACTTCCTGAGTCTGTTCTAAACGCCTGAATCACCGAGCATCCCGCAACGCGTTTCTTTCTGGCCGTAACTACTGGAAGACGTAGTCCCAAGGGAGACTTTTCTGCTATACTATCTGTCCTCATGGATCCTTTTTCGTGACTGAGTATGTAATAGTATGCTGGCTGGTATTGGCTCACTGGATCACCAGGAAGAAAGGTCGAGCACCTCATGGGACAAAATGATCGCTCGAGCTATGGTTAATAGTTCATTAAATGATCACAACCGCCCATCGTCAAAGCTCAAGAACGTCAAGGTCCTACCTATAAGAGAAAAGCGCCTTTGTCATGTATAAACCGACCGAAGAAAGTGATGCGTGTAGACTGTGCCTCAGGCTCTGAACCCTTCTCCTTCAATGGATTGCTTCGTCCACAACTTCCATTCCATCATTGTCAATATTCCTTGTCAAGCGACAGATACTCTCGATCATGGAGGCAACTCCCATGGTGGGCAACTCCATGCCATCCCAGGCTCAGCTAGCTCTTGCAATGGCCATCGTCAAACAGAAACCGGCAGGCATGGATATCCAAGGTTACCAAGCCTGGAGTCCCCTTTCTGTACTAAGCTTACCAAGTTTTAAGACTATGTGCAGCAGATCCGAAAGAACATCAAAACTGCAGAAAGTTGCGGCAGGGACTATTTGGAAGATCGATTCTTCGACAGCGTTTCCTTCTGGCAGCAAGCCTATAAGAGATCTGAAGCTGAGCAGAGTCGGTTGATGGATAGAATTTACGAACTGGAGCAGCGTAACGAGGCCCTTCTTGCGAAACTACAACTACAAAACCCTTTGTCTCAAGAGAATACGCAAGTATCGGCAAAGAGGAAGGCAAACGGGAATGTGAACGCAAGGAAAAGAGCAAAGACACAGCTGACCTTGCAGAATCAGGCTTTTGGTATGGCTCTTGAATCTAGCAAACTGGTCGAGCAACCCGAATACATGGAAGAATGTCAGTTGAGAGTGTCAACGTTATCGTCTACTCTGACTAACTGAAGTCATCTCAGCAGCCACTGCATCGTTCATGCGACACTTCTACGCTCTTCAGAGAGCCATTCAACGCCGGCCGAGTTGCTCGACTATTGTACAATGTTCCGGGGATCTATGCGATGTAGCTGTGCATGAAGTGCTCACAGCAGTCCGTTGGAGAGGACATACCAGTCGACCTAGCAAGAAGCCTGTCCTCCAGGCACAGCGACCTCACTTAGAACACGTCCTACGCAGCGTCAAATGCGCTTTTCAGGTTATCTTACAGGCACTGGAAAAGATCTCGGAGAGTGAAAATGACCTTCACGGCAAGGGTCAGCTTGATTATCATCTCATTAGATTGTATCAAGCTATAGCTACGGCTTTGGAGCAATACTGCATCAGCAAGGCCGGACATATTTCCGCAAGCACCGGTTCCTCCAAAAACCCAAAGAACAAGCAGGTTAGGAAGTCGAAAAGTGCAAAGCCTTGCCAGGAACTGGAAAATCTCACGACCACTGCTGTTGACGAAGCAGCCAGCCAGATCAGTCGGCTACTGGGCTCTATTGCAATCTCTTTGAATCTTGCATATGCAGTTCATCGGGCTGTTTTCGAGGGGCTTCTGTATGTTCTTCTTACGCGCGTGGGATCCTTACTATGCATATTTGTCTTCCAAGATTTACAAACTCGACCTGATCTTCATGTGGATCAGACCAAGTTACCTCTTCCCCAAGGCTTGCAGGGTGTCAAGCTGGATGACCAGTCCTTGCGCGCTATGCAGATGGAGGCAAAGCATCTTATTTGGCCTCTGGAGAGAAGCCTAGCCTTATTAGATGCTTGTACGTCCTCGTCTTCGGCATTGGGACCTCAGGACGTCCCTGAAGCAATGGCATGGGTAGCCAAGCTGAAGCAGCAGCTACAAGGGACTCTTCTTCAGGCTTTGTTCGGATCAGACCGTTCTGTGTTTCCACGTACGCTACAGCAACCTGATACACTTGATCCACATGAGCTTGAAAGGTTGCAGAACTGTACTCAAATTCCTGAGCAATCCGTTCCCGACTGGTTTACGCAAGAGATATGGAGGCTACTGGGATGGGACTTGCTAGCAACTCAGAACACCTCTTAAACATGGGAAAATGGCACGCTTTCTGTCCCCGTCTGCTGAATATTCCCACAATGTCGCATAAGTCCGCTCTGCCGCTCCTTTGAGGCCTCTATCATTATTCCCCGCTTTTAGTATATCATTACTTTGTTCTCTGCTCTTATAGAGATGAAGTCGAGGCACGAGACCTATGAGGGTCAAGCAGGACGCAATGATATTTGATACCTATATGAGTATGAACTTCATTCATTTGAGATTCAGAATACGTGCTGCGTTCCCTCCAAAGATTGCCCCGACCGCTTCTTTCTCTGTATCAAATGCAGCGTGGATTGCTTTGTAGTTGGTCGTCACACTAGGCCATTCGGAGTCTTCACTAGTGTCAAGTGGAGGGAAAAAGGGATGGTCAGTGCCTGTCTAGATGTCAGTATAACGGCAGAAAGGAATTCAGCGAAGTGAATGACCATACCGAACATGAGACGATCCGCTCCACCGGCTGCAGTCACGGCTGCTTTCAGGCCAGCAGTACCATATACCACCGCATCAAGGTAGATGTTTGTCTGCAACACATCCCAAACACTTCTCTGAGGACCCGGTACATTACCGCCATTGGCGACAAACTTGCGCTCGTGATGAATACAGCTCTCAATCCGTCCAGCAAGGAATGGAAGCGTTCCGCCAGAATGCGCCAGCAGGATCTTCAACCCAGGAAACCGATCGAAAACACCGCCAAGGAGCATCCGTGCTACGGCAATCGTAGTCTCGAGCGGGAACCCTAAAGCAAGTGGCAGAACATGGCCGTAGCGGTTCATCGCTTCTGTCCCGCCGAAAGCTTCATCGGGTAGACCGTAATGAGGGTGGAGGAACAGTAGGGTGTCTGTCTCTTGTAAAGCGCCCCATACGGGGTCCAACGCTGGATCATCGAGGCCCTTGCCTAACCCAGACGTACCCATAATCACACCTCGCAGATGCAGGAGCGTCTTGAGTCTCTTGATCTCGTTTACCACAATGTCTGCTGTAGGCGCACTGAGCGGCAGGGCTCCAAATGCGAACAACGTCTCCTTTTCGTGAGGAGCATGCTTGTTGTCGGGGTCTACTGCTTGGTTGACACGCGCGCAGGTCTGCTCCAGATCATCATTGATGCGTTCTGCCCATGTCTGAGCTTCTTCAGGCTCGAGAAAGTCCAGCCACGGGTTAGCTAGGGATATGACACTGCAGTTGATACCGTGGCGTCGCATGAATGCCAGCTTGACGTTGATATCCCAGTACGACGAGTCGACTGGACGGCCGCGCTCATCCAGAGGGATTGATGGATCATCGTCTGAAGAAAGGATGACAAGCCGTGGTGTCGCATTGACTGGGTCGTGGACGTAGGGGACTACCTTGCGAGAGCGGAGCATGTCCATATACGACCGGGGATAGACATGAGTGTGAATGTCAACAATGAGAGGGGATGGCATCTTCTCTCTTTGCTTTCTGGCGATCAATCAGCCTCTCTTAGGAAGGTTGTAGTAATGATGGTTCGCAAAGGTGAGCACGCTGAAGAAAACGTTAGCAATCGACCTTTGACTCTTATGAATGATCATACAATTCTCGAAATGCAGGTGATTCGCGAACTCGACATGAAGATGAGAGAGAACGAGTGAGACAAGGTTCAACCTTGACTTGTCTCTTATCTTTCGATGCGGGGTATTCGCAATGAGGTTACAACAGTAATGCATCTGCAGGGGATGCAAGTGATGTGCAGCGTATGTATGGACTGCTGCCGAGCCCCTCATGTTTCAAGTATCGAGGGCCCAAGAATAGTACTCCATATCAATGGCTCATCTGCCTTCGATAGTGTCATTGATAGCTGCAGGAGTGAGTTCTCATCAGGGTCTGCTCTTCTCTGAATGGTCAAAGAGCCTATCCACCCTCGATATCCTCATCTTTCCGACAACCCATACCTTATCGCTCAGATACGGACAGCAACATCATGCAGATCGAGTTTATCTTCCCCGCTCCAGCGTATCATCGTTGACTGGGGATGAGGAAGGATATTTAAGGTGAGGGAGGGGAGGCGTATCTCCTGCGGAACCATGGCTGCTATCCATCCAACTCTGTTGATCTGCTTATTTTCCTTTTCCTCACCTTGGTTCATGACCGAGTCGTGATTTCACATGAGGTCCTTTGCGATTGCGCTCGACGTCTTTCTACACCAGCTCAAGGAGACGTCTATAGCTCTTCTAATACATCAGAAGAATTGTACATTAATCTGACGATCTAATTTCACCCTTCAACTTCGAGAGCCATAGATCCCGATCGTTATACAATGGACGACAAGCTGGCGCAGCATGCGTGCCATCCCATCACCACAGCGATTGAAAAGGACGACCTCGTCATTCCTGTGAGTATCCTGATCGTCTTTAAAATTATCAACCTGCCGTTTTGCTTTTTGTATTCATGTGATATGTGTCTCCCTTCTTACTTACACCGTCAATTTACAGGTCATTGATTTTGGGCCCTTTCTGAGAGGGACACCATCCGATAAACATGCTGTCGCTGTTTCCATCACAAATGCATTCAAGACATCGGGTTTTCTCTATTTAAAAGACCATGGTATCCCATTTTCCACAGTGTCCCAAGTATTTGAGGCTTCAGCCCGCTTCTTCGCTCGGCCCCAGGATCAGAAAGACAGTTTGTGCTGGAGTTCCCCGCAGTCGAACCGCGGTTACATCAAGACAGGACAAGAGAAGCTCGGCTTACCTGAAGATACTGTCGACAAGGATACTGCTAAGCCGACGATGCCAGATCTCAAGGAGACAATGGAGATTGGTCGAGATGATGTTGACGGTCTTCCTAATCGGTGGCCAGACCATTTCGATGACGAAGGGAAGGATTTCAAGAAAGTGATGCAGTCATTCTTCGGAATGTGCAAATCCCTCCATACAGAGGTCATGCGGGCTATCGCTCTTGGAATGAACTTACCGGAGCACTACTTTGATGAATTCGTGGATGCGGGAGATAATAATCTCCGTCTGCTGCATTACCCTTCTGTGCCCAAAGATGTCTTCAAGAAGAACCCAGGACAGGTTCGTGCTGGAGAGCACAGTGATTACGGATCTATAACACTTCTGTTCCAAGATCGTCGTGGAGGGCTGCAGGTTCGGAGTCCCAAGGGCACCTTTGTCGATGCTACGCCTATCGCAGACACAGTCGTCGTCAATGCTGGAGACCTCTTAGCTCGGTGGTCCAACGACATCATCAAGAGCACTCGTCATCGGGTTGTCGAGCCTCCGAGTATCGCAGGTGACGACGCAGGTGACGGCTCAGATGCGTACCCGGCGCGATATAGTATCGCGTACTTCTGCAATCCCAATATGAACAAATTTATTGATGCCCTACCGGGGACATTCGGGGACGAAACTAGCCAGAAAAAGAAATACCCTGGAATCACCGCCGGAGACTATCTTGTGCAACGATTGACAGCAACAATCTAGTCTGAGTGTTATTGTTGAAGTATATCTCCAAATGAGTCATGTTTACATTCAGCGTTTCTATGTATCTCGAGCAAGACTGACCACTAATACTACAAGTGAGTTTCTTTCTATGTGAACGATGGATATGGATTAATATAAGCTACTCACTTATAGCGCAGTGACTGATCCTGTATGCCCTTTTGATACCTGATACCTTGCCTGCATGTGTAAAGTACTCTGTGCTCCCCACCGCCTCTAATACGATGCCGGGTGGACTGCGGTTCGTCCTCCATCAGTGACGATGATGCTACCATTGATGTAGCCACCGGAAGCACTCGCCAGCCAAAGAATCAGACCCGCGATGTCTTCCTCACTACCACCTCTCGTGAGGGGAATCCTTTCGCGTGGGAACGACCCGTCAGAAATGCCCCTATCTCCGCCCTTGAATGCTTCCGCAGACATCTCCGAGTGATATAGGCCTGGCGCAATGCCATTGACTCGGATATCGTACGAGCTCAGCGTAGTCGAAAGCATCTTGACAAGATGATTCACTGCAGATTTGGAAAGACTGTACGCAAAACTGAAGGGCACCTGCCGAATGAAACCCGCAATCGAACTGGTGATGACAACCTGCGCAGTCGGTGGGGAGAGCTTATTCTTCTCAGGTGCCGGTCTCCTCTTATTCGTTGCCTCAAGCAGAGGCAGGAAAGCGAGAACAGTATAATATGACCCTGTGATGTTGATATCGAAGACCTTGGAAAAATCCTCCATGGGTACAGACCATAGCTGATCACGGACTTCTGCGAGGCTTGGTTTTGACCCGTCCGCTTTTGCGGCTGGCGGGCGAGCAGATGGACCCATCACACCGCTGTTTGCGATCAAGAGGTCGACATGGTCCGTCTGAGATGCGATGGAGTCGTAGGCCGCCTGTAATGATTCCTTAGATGAGACGTCGCCCTTGATGGTTATGATTGTCTTGTTGATTGCGAGGGATGCAGTCTCTTGTAGCTTGTCCTCGCGTCGGCCAATGATGAAGACCTTTGAGGCACCGTTCGCATCTAGCGCAAGGGCCATTGTACGTCCCAATCCTGTTGAGGGATGCGTCAGTGATTATAGGATCTTGTTCAAAATCTACTAACACAATCGTGTTGCAGTGGCGGAGAACAAACTACAACGCGTTCTACGTAGAGTGGTAGATATCTTCAAGGAGACTCACCACTTCCAGCCCCGGTCACAACAGCAACACATCCGTGGATGGAGAACAATTTCGAAGCTTGCAGGTGCGACATGATGATGAACTACTGAGCGCGCTGCCAATAGCGGATTGCAATATCAAGTGCTAGGAGTGTTCAATTTCTACAGAAAATGATGGAGTTGATCAATTTATCTAAAAGCAAGTGTTGTAGGACAGTTCATAGTGAGAAGACAGTCGATTTGTTCCTTTTAGAGGATTTGTCGTCATCGAAGACCCCGCATCTCGCAAACATGGCCGATGTGGGGAAATCCCACGCTCCGGCAATGCTCCTTGATGACTTTCTTCTTCGTTAAACCCAGATTCATGGAAATTCTCCAGGTTCAGAAAACCGTGTCCAAGAGTGTCCTTGGAGCTACGAGTGGGATAAGTAGGTACAATCTGCTGTGTGTGAGAGTGATGATCGCACCCCTGGTTGATAAGCCCAGAGATATGCATGATCGACACCAACAGCCCATAAATCCCAGTAACCCGAAGCATGATGTGACAGACATCTACAGTCCATGCTTCAAGTCTTTCGGAGAGTTTCAGATTGGAAAGCAGGAAAAGCCAGGATGCTTAACTGAACCCCTTCTCATGCAATAATCATCTCTTTCTGGTAATCAATCAACCTTCGCATAGAACCAACCCCAACTATGAGAAAAGGTGGCAGCAGAATGAACCACTTCAATGCTACTGAGTATTTATTTCTGAATCACTTCCCCGAGAATTCGGCGGCTCACACTAAGATCCTGGTGACCTTTACGCCTCGGATGACAGTTCCCTAAAAGTCCACTTTGATCTTGATCCCACGTCATAGTAACCGGGAGATCCGCTACATCCTCTTTACTGTTGGCATGCAACATACGAGATCAATTGATAGGATCGGAATATCGGAAGAGTAACCTATTTATACAAAGCAGATCATTTGCGATATATGTCATGCCTCGTGAAGACCTTATGTTGCAGACGAAACGCAGTAACCCTTGCTGCTCGTGGTTGCGGACCACCGATTGCTCAACGCTTGGCGAATCAACGTATTCTGTCTATAAGTTCCGAATGTATAACGAAAGTTGGGTTGAGAGCTGCCCTTCTTGGGAGCTGACGTCGCCTCCTCACCGGAGGAATTTCAGAGCCGGAGCTATACAGCTGCTCCATCCTTCCACCACGAATTATTCGTTCATGGCTGCCTGTAGCATGACGACACACCTTGACATTGACTACCTAACCACGAATCGATGTCAGTAGGGTACCTGGTGAAGTCCTCAGGGACAGAAACTCCGATGCTGATTTTGGAAATTCGGGAGACAAATCAAGTTATGACGCTGGAACGATGCTATGGATAACAACCTAGATCTGGAAACTTCAGCGGCATAAGTAGCAGCGTCATGTCTTGATCACGAATTAGTTGCGTCAATTGCGAACCCCCTGACTCTGACCATATTCTTAAAGGCAGGTTGGCCCTCATATGTAGCTTCGCAACGCTGCACTCTGGGCGCTGGAAAGGTTCCCTAGCACATCACTGGGTAGCATATCAATTGCCTTCTGGATGCCAGGAGGATATCGCCCTTTTACCCATCACTATGAACTGGAGACACTTTCTGCTGACCAACGTGCTGGTTGGGCTACCTCCCACCCTCGCAGTCCCTAATGTGAGGAGAGCCGACGGACCCTCTATTTCCGTGCCACCTATTGTGAGCCACCCAACCTCGTTACCACACTCTTCCTATACCGCGACTCCCACGACCAGTGGAGCCGAGAGTGCCAGCTCTGTTGGCTCCGGGATTCCGACTTTGGGACCGGCTCCAGGAGCTACCAGCTACCCGAGCGATGGAAAGCTCCATGAGCCCCAGCCGGCTCCTTATGTACCGGCAGGCGGCGTTGGGACGAACGGCACAACTCCTATCTACAACGCGAAGAGCGACTTTGATTATGAATCACTGGTATGCCTGCACCGATGAGCTGGACGAATAGTAGCTGACTGCTGCCAGGCCCTTGCGCTCTACCAAGAGTACATCGAGCTGGACCTGTTCCACGATGGTTTGGCTCGATTCTCTGTAGCGGATTTTACTGCCGCTGGTCTCACGGCAGAAGACCGATTTTTGATTGAATTCATGGCTGACCAGGAGGTTGGACATGCAACAATGCTGACCAATATCCTGGGTGCTCAGGCTCCTAGACAATGTGTCTACAACTATCCTTACGCCACCGTCCACGAGTTCATCGACTTCTGCCAAAAGCTCACCCGGTTCGGAGAAGCTGGTGTCTACGGCTTCTTGCCTCACCTGGATTCGCGAGAGGCAGCGGGCCTCCTTACCCAGTCTATCACCACGGAGGCTCGCCAGCAGCTAATCTTCCGCCAGTTTGAAGGTCTCTTCCCAATGCCTGTGTGGTTCGAGGTTGGGGTGCCCCAGTCTTGGGCATGGACACTGTTGGCTCCGTATATCAGCTACTGTCCTGCGAACCAGACGAGACTGGTATGGCAGAACTTCCCAGCATTGTATATCGAGAACCAACCAAATCCTTACCGGGTCAATGGATCGTCTGCGGTTAATGAAACCCTTCCAGGTGGCGGCATGAACGTTCTGGCCAGCCGGAACGTGACCGGACCTGATTCATGTCTAAACAAGACAACCGTGGGCGAGAACTGCAGCCCGGCAATTACCCATAATCGAACAAGCCCCCTCTCCTACCCTGGTCGAACAGTCACCCTGTCCTGGGACGCTCCGGGCAAGGGTGTGGGCCCAAACAACAGCTACATCACGAACACGACTGCGGGAGCCCCGAGATACGTCCTGTGGGCTTCACAGTTGAATGTCACGTACTCGACACTAAGCACCAGTGGCAATGCAAGCTATGGAACGACCGTTCAGCCCGACCTGTCGACATATGCCGGCGACCCAGCGATCAATGGTACCATCTTTATCGCAATCACGGACACTGATCTTTTCGTGACTCCTTTCAACATCAGCAACGTCAACTCTCATATAGTTGCCGGCCCAGCTCTTTACCAAGCCGGCTAAGTTGATGCAATCGAGCGTGGTACAGTGAAGCAAGGAGTGTTAGATGATATATCTGGCTTGAAGTTCTGAGTGATCATGTAATTGTCAAAAGTAAAGAAAACGGGGATGATACGTCTTAGTCTTCAAAAAGTCATTGAATGATGGAAGTTCCAAGATATGTGCTGTTCTTCTAGTGGCTACTTATAAACGAATACTACTTGGCGAGAGTGCGACGCTGAGAGTCCTGGATCGTAGGGAAGGTATATATAGAACGGTAACCCCGCTAACTCCGAGGCGGTCCCGTCGTTTTGCTAGCTTTGTGCTTCCTCCATCAACAGATGTCAAACTCTTATGCTATCCTCCACGAAGACTATCAACCACGAGTCTACAGACTTGCAAACATTCCGGGTAGCATACTAGCCAAGATGGAAGGTCCTAAGAATCGAAAACAGCGACGAGCAGCAGCAGCAACAGCCGCAGCTTCCACCCCTGACTCGTTCGATCCATCTTCGATCCCTTTAGCCCATCCTCAAGAAAAGTCCCGCAACGACATACCGAAGGGAAGAACGTTGGTGGAACTCATTGCTGAAAGAGAAAATGAAATCTTGGCCAAGGAACAGAGGGGTACTGCAAAGTCGGGTCCAGAAACGCGATTCATGACCGTGGATCCATTATCTGGCAAGATTTCCCAATTCAACCCTTCAACGCTTTCAAAGGAACAAAGCGATGAGGACGGCCGGGCAGGACCAGCGACTGAGGACTCGCAGATTGAGCCGAACACAGCTGACGACGGCGTTGATGAACCGATTCCCCCATTAATCGACACGCTCCTACTCTCCGTACCACTGACGACATTACACCTTACACTGGCCTACCTGGCGGCTCACCAATACGCGGAAACGATCGAGTTGGAAAAGCTCCTGCGCGAGTCTGCATTTATCGCGTTCCCCATGCTGACACTGCTCGTCCATCTTGCTCATGGACACATCGTATCAGTGCATAGAGGGAATACGAAGCAGGAGAAAGTCTCGCTCTTCCCCTGGTCTGAAGACAAGCTCACACTTTCATTCGTCCGGAAGTTGCTTTTTCCTCCGAGTCTGCGGACAATGGCGTTTTTGCCTGTTGCCGTGCTCCTGGGAACTAAGCTGATGACTATGACCAACGAGGACCCATACTATGCTGTTATGAAGCGAGCCCCTGCCATCGGAACTTTATGGGTGTGGAGCATTCTGGAAATTCCAGTAGGCGCAGCTGCTTTAGGCGCACTGTGCCCGTTGATCTGGGGTGTCTGGTGGAAAGGATACGGTATCTTTTAAGCCACAAAGGCCAGGGCAATGTCGCATCATCGTTCCCTACGCCTTCTACAGCCGCGGTTTGAAGAGAAGTGAAATTCGAGCCCGGTAAATTTTACCGTTGAAGAAGCCTGTTGCAATTTCGCTGTCGGTTACTCCTAGGATTTACTTCATGACTGGCTTCGATTGCCAGGATCTTCTGGGATGATCCCGGCACGGGCGCGTCCCCCATGCCAGGGCGTCAGCAGTCACGTCGACGCAGACCGCAACGGCGACGTGGTACTTTGAATAAGCGAGCTCGTTTCTGCTGGTGCTGCGAAGCTATCCAATTGTTTGAAGACACGGCATAATACCCCTCCGAGCTCCAGTCGGACGTTAGCAGCAATTACGTTTCACCGCATTCGCGCCCGTATGAAGGCCGGATATGGCACCAGCATGTACATACATAATGTGAAAGCCGCTCTACTGAAGCACCGCTAGAACACGAAGCTTAACCAATGTCTACCGTGCAATATGCTCCATGCAAGGTTCTGGTCCTTCAGTCCTATATCACCGTTACGAGGCTGCGGTTCGGAATCAAATAGGGTCAGAACATAACTCGCTCCAAATACTGCTGGCCAAATCCAACTTGATTTCTCGAGTCGTCCCATCACAAGATGAGGGCAGATCCTCGAGGATTATTCTGACTGCGTATTCGCGCTAATGCTCACTGTCTGAGGCCAGGAAAGCATACGAATGGCGAGAAAAACTCACTACTGTGTAGCACTCAGGGGTGTGCATGTCGTCGAGGTGTATAGGACCGGGCTCCCGATCCTGGTTGACTGGATAAGAATCCCAACGACGTGTGGTCAAAGTGAGTCGCACCATCACCCTCCTTACTGGGATGTTCTTGACAAATGCGGGGAGGTTACCAGCGACATTGGGGTTTGAGAGACCGGTACATCACTTGATGTGAGATTGCCGCGAGTGGGCAGCTCATTGCGAAGCGAGTGCAGCACATGTTGTTCAGTTGACCAAACTCTTTAAAGCATTGCAACCTGCGGCTGTTGCCCGAGGGGGCTATGCCTTCTGGAGGAGAACGCATGGCTGACCTGAGAATGCGTCCCTCTAGACAAAGGATTACCGTGATGGGTTGTCTATCCGGGCACGTCATCAGGTACCCAAGGAAATGCAGTCCTAGCAGAAAATAGCGTCCACGATACCGGCCCGACGAAAGGTGTATCTACACTTTCTGAGCTCAATGTCAGGAATCGGGCAACTCCAGAACGAGCGGCTATAGCGATTTGCAAAAATTATCAAGGCACCACCTTGACAGACTTGTTTGTTCGCTTCTTGGGCTGCATGAACCATTCAGGATATTTGCCAATGCAGTTCGCTCCACGAGGATGATGCACTATCCTCGACCTGCCCGTTTGGGCTATTCTATAATTTGAAGCGAGCCTTTTGGCCGGCCGGTCTCTTGCTGACCAAGGCTGCTAGGTTCTTGAAGGATCAACGATTTGCTTGACTCGAGACACTTGTCAAGCGCGTTTTTGCAAAGGATGATCTCTGAGACCGAGGACTCGGAGGCCTGTCTTCGCCCAACGCTGGTCGGCCTCGAACCAAGGCTACCATGACGTCGATGATGAGGGGTCGTCCATTTATTGTAACCCACATATCCCGTGTTCTATTCCTCTAGCCCAACAGAATTGATAATCTACTACGCTATCATCCCAAGTCACCCGTAGCGCGGGATACTAGATGAGGCGAGGCGGTGACTGCTGCACAGTGAACCGTGTCTATTGCCGCATCGGGTTACAGGCATATCAGCCGAATGATCGTCACTCATGATCTCGCACACGCCGATGACCAGACCAGATATCGCGACACGAGTGTCCGGCGAAGGTCTGTGGTCAATATGGCTACACCGGAATGATTGCATTGACCCAGAGAAATGTATGATTTCAGCTCGATTTTGGAAGATGTCTCGACGGGTGGCTGGTGAGCCTGCGCCACAAGGTGGAGATTGCAGCAACTATTTGCGCTAAAAGTCAATAGTGCCAACGTCAAGACACCCATTCAGCATTCAGATCAGACTCAAGCCAGAGAAAGAAAAAGCAAAGAGCTGAATGGATCCGTCGGCTCAGTTGACCTCGTTTCCGGGTCGATCGATAAGCTGTTGCTGTCTAGGATTCTTGACACGGGCGCATGGCGATCCTCGGTCAAATTCCTTCCGCGGTTTATTCGAGTAGATTGTTGGCAGTTTGTGCCAACTCTAATTACATTGATGAGACTGGTCGAGGCATGCGATAAAAGTGTCGATCAATCTATTCCGCTCAGTCTGACATTAGGCTGATCATCCTTCGATCAGATATCACACGATTGGCGTGGGTTGCACCCAATCGAATGAGTTGACTCGACGTCACGGTGGCAGTAGTTGATCAGCAGTCGTTCTAGGCGCCAATTGCACCATTTTCGACGAATTTCGAAAACAATCGAAGCGAGAAGAGTCAAAACAGGATGCAGAGGGGGAAGAGAAGCAAGGGTAGTACTCCGTACACATGCCGGTCTACTCATGCATAGAGGCCAAAGTACTCCGTACAATATACCCAAAGAGGCAAGGTGAAGCTTGCTGTCGAACCCGTTACTCAATCGTATTGTATCTCGTGCGCATGAAAACTAAAGCCATGAATCTAGGTATACGCTGTAAGCCAGTAGATTTTGTACGACACAAGGGTGACAACTATGTGAGTGAGCACTATCAAGCGAATGACTGACCAATGTTCGAGATCTGGATAAATTGCGTATTGTATTTCATCGCAGACTCACTACTTTGCGAGGATGATTGGCCACCTCGAGGAAGCAATTCACATGTTGTGTACCCAAAAGTACCTTTGTTTGGTTACTCGGGTCTTTTCAGAACCTGTTTCTTTTGAATTCACCTGAGAATACAATACGCACATGCCTCCATGGCCATAAACCAAGACCAACATGCCCAAGGCCGTGGCAAAAAGCCATGGTCATGCATCGTAACCGTTCATGTCATGAACTGAAGCCTGCGGATTACAAGGCAGTAGGTACCTTGCTTCCTGCATCGCGCTTCGCATGCGATTTCGCATTCTGTACCAAGATTTCGTTTTAGCGGAATAGGATCCCGATTTTAACAGAATCTCACCGTCATCTTGGCCCAGTCATGCGAATTTACTCTGTGTTTATTATCGGTGAGCCAGAACTCTACCTGATAATTAGTGTTTGCGCACTCTCAGGCCTCGACGAAATAGACTGTATCACACGTCCGTGAGCGAGGAGTTTTCTACCTGACACATGCACAGTGTACGCACTGTGCATAAGCTTCTAATGCAAGGGGAGCTTACTGCATCTCAACGAGACCTACAGAAGTTCAACGCAATCATGGTTCGCAGTAGCCCGTCCAGGCGGTGACTGGGATTCTAGGACAGAAATGACCTGCGCCACATCTTGGTCCGGCCAGCGGAGCCGAGATTTGAGGCAGCGCGCCAGGATCACTGGGAAAAGTAAAACAACAACACTAAGGTAAGCGTGCGGGGCCAGAACCCACAATGACAAATTCTGGTTTTTGGGGACGAGATTGCAGGTTTGATTGGTCGGATATACTAGTATGATCTCAAATTTGGTTGAGAATTAGAAGCCTTTGGAAGTGTTCGTGGAAGAGATACTCCGCGGATATGGTTTGGTTCGTGTCATTTTTTTAATCATCTATCTGCTGTAGGAGTAGTGTGACTGTCCAAGTAACTAGGTACTCTGTACGTATGTACGTATATCCAAAGAAATAAAATCAAACCATCAAAACAATCCCATCAGCGCCTGTGCCTATGCCTTACGCCCACGCCTGTTGACCGTAGCCCTGGAAACTGCAAAAAAAAGTCAAAGCAAAAAAGTGACTGGTAGCGTAGTGAGCTACACGGCGACACGTCCCTTGTGCACCAACCCCAACCCCCCCAGTCCACTAGCGGCTCCTCTGAACCGTGCCAGCAGACTGGATACCATGTCGCGGTACGTGTTCATTTGCGACAGCTTGAAGCGCTGGATTTTCCCGCTGGCCGTGCGGGGAATTTCCTCCACAAAGACAATCCCCCCGTCTAGCGCCTTGTAGCTGGCCAGTTGACGGCGTGCAAACTGGTAGACTTCTTCCGCTGTCAGCCGATTTGCAGACGGTCCCTTCGCCCTAACTATGAAGGCGCGGGGCAATTCTGTGCTGCCGTCTTTGGAGGTGACGCCTGTGACGGCGGCGTCTTCGATACCCGGGTGTTTGAGGAGGACCGCTTCGAGTTCAGCGGGGGCAACCTGCCATCTATTTCCAAGTAAGCACTAATAGTGGAACGAAAAAGAAGCCAGTAAACTTACCCTCTCACTTTGATGAGTTCCTTGGTTCGTCCAACGATAAAGTACTGCCCGTTCTGGGCGTAGGCCACATCACCGGTCCGGAACCAGCCATATGCATCTTTGGCGTCGTTGCGTCCCTTGTAGCTCATCAGAACCCCGGCCCCGCGCACATACAATTCCCCCGGTCGAGAATCCCCCTGCACCACGTTCCCGTCCTGACCGACCAGGCGCACCTCGTACCCAGGTAACAGACGTCCAATACTTCCGGGGTTCCCCTGCTCGCCGTATCGGGTCTGGAAAACGACCCCGACCTCGGTCATGCCCCAGAGCTGCGTCGCGCGGGCGTGCGGATGCAGCAGCCGCTGGAATTGCTCCATCGACGGGCCGTCGATGGGCGCACCCGCGACGCCGACGTACCGCAGCGTCCCCATGTAATCTGCGATTGGGGGAGCACTGCGATTGAAAACGTGAATCATGGCGGGGACCATATAGGTCTCCGTGATCTGGTAGTGGTAGATGGCGGCGACATACTGGGTCAGCTCGAAGCGCGGGAGGACGAAGAGCGGCTGGCCGTAGCGGATCGGGAAGATGTGTGTCCACAGCGACCCGAACAGATGGAACATAGGCAGAGAGATAAGCCGCGTGACTACGTAGGGGACTTCATAGTTGATGCTGAGGTGATG